GCCGCAGAGAATATTAGTCTTTAAACTTGAGTTTCCTTCTCCAATTACATCTTTATCTCTAAAAAAAATATCACTTTTTAGTGTAACTTTGCTACTTTAACCTCAGAAAAATTCTGTTAAGTTGGAATTTTTCTGCCCTTCATAAATTTACATCTTTAATACAAAAAAACATTTGAGCATATTTTTTCTTTGTATTTATGCCAGATAATAAACTAACCAATTTACTCTTAGAACATCCATCTTTTCTTTTTCTTCACATATTCACAGCTCTAACCTTTAGAAAAGTGTATTTTTACAGTAATTTTTTAAATGTTTTTTCCTAATAGATTTACAATTTTTTAAATCCTTAGAATATCAAACCTCTTTCCTGTAATTCTTAATCATACATTTACAACTTTAATCTTAAATTAATAGTTACACTTTTTATCATGATTAAAATTTTCCACTTACATCTGACAGAATCAAACATCTTTAATCTTTGAAAATGTGAGTTTTTCCCAAATGTTTCAATTTTTTTCATTCCTGTGACTAAAATAAATGATGAATGTGAACGATTAAGTCATTGCATCAGTCATCTTAGGTGTAAAAAGAAAACTGAGTGCAAAAAAACGAAAAATATATTTAATTTACAAACATAATATATGGCAACTAAAAAGCTAATTCTCTTAAATCTCAAATATCATTACGGGAATAATTTTGCAGCCTAGTCAGTTGTAATAACACCTTTTCAGCAATCAGATGGTAACACAGACCCAGAACATAAACATATATAATAAATATAAAGACACAGCAACCTAAGATTGACTGAATTAAAGCTGTTTTATTTTCTTTAACTGATCTCTCACAACCTAAAGGCAGATCTTTAAATTGACTTCCTGATCTTCTGGGAGTACTCACAGTAAATGTAGTGCTGTATGGTCTTTAAATCATTAGTCATGATTAGTCATGTCCATGATGAGCCTGGCAGATACACGTGTGCACTGTGAATCCTTCCAGCCAGGAAATGAGAAACATTCATGCTGCGTATTAATATTTAGATAACATTTACAAAGTCCAATATCCAAAGTGTGGGCCAGTTCTGGCACAGTAAACGGCGACTTTCCCCCTTGAGCATGCGCACTGTCTCATTATTGACCAGATGTAAGTGAAACGGTTGCAGCCGCAGCAGGAGAAAGAGGTCGTCAGAGGAGCCAAATGTGCAACATCGTGACTTTCTCTCCCTCCCAGCTTTGATGGAGGAGGCGCACCTGTTCTGTTCTCCTCTCCTGCTCCCTCCCTTCCTCTCTCACCCATCCTCCTCTCCCACCCCCTCCCATCTTGCCTCATACACTTGACTGCAATGCACCAATATTCACGCTTCCTTTCAAGTCCACCGCTTCACAAATGCAGAAGAACAGAGCTAACTGTGCGGGCGGACAAACGAGCGGCAGCAGGAAATGATCGCGATCGCACACCTCTCACGTTTGAATTAAACCCTTCAGAGCCATGAATAAAGGCAGGAGCCGGTGGATGGCCGAGGCCTAATGCCGGGGAGGAAGTCAGCAGATCAGTGAAGGTGACCGACAGCAGAGAGCACTGCTCAAAAAGCATAAAGCTACAACAGACGATGAACATAAGGCCAAATAAATGACTGTCCATCGCTGAAAACGTGTTGATGTGTCTGGTCCCGACATGCAGCCTGTTTGTAAACAGTGCAGGCCCGATCCTCCAAGGTGTTACACAACACAGAGATGCGCATCATTATTATATCCTTATCATCATCAGCAGCAGCACACGCAGGGCTGCATTATTTACAATATGCACACATAATCCCGCAACAAACACCGCCTAAAGAGCGACGCTTCATTTCTAGCGACAGATTTATCGACCTGGCCGTCCCACTGCTACAAATATACCGACAAAACTGCCCTCATGCAACATAAACTACAATCTGTTCTGACCGTTTAAGTGCACCGTAGTGCAGGTATTATTATTATTTATCCTCAGTTTTACCTTCATCGAAGATAAACGCAGCGATTACAGAGCCTCGAACAAAGCGGCAGCACAATGTTGTGATGCTCCGGATAGACCCGCGTCAAGTTTACCAAAAAGAACGAGCGTCCGGCGCCGGTTTTTCAAAATAAAACTTCATTTACAGTTAGACAAGTGGCAATGGGAAGATAACGGCATCCGAGGACAAAACGGAGAGTGCTCTCTGAACGCTAAGCAACTTGTACTAATACACAAAAACACAGTCCGCTTGTTTTTCTAAAATTCACTTCGCAAAGCAGCCGTTAAATTAAAATTAGCTTTACTTTGAAGACTGCTGGGTGACGAGAGCTGCCGCTAGCACACCTGCTTTGTTGAATTAACACGCCTGCCGTTATTTGTAGATAAACCGAAATAGCTCGCGCACGCTACTGAGTTTACTTTAATGCGATTACGGCAACAAGTTTAACTGAGCTAAAAGCCACTTTGGCTAGCTGCTGTTTACGTTTTTCTTCACTTTAACTTACCCAGCTGTTACCTGACAGTAGAGGACGGGGTGGACACAGCTAATATTTAGCTGTGTTTTTAACTTTAACCTTGGTGTTCACAGTATAAGCGACTGAACCTTTATTCGGCATAAAACTGATTATTTTGTGGATGTGCTTCAAAATTTGACAGAGAAAACGAAATGGCTGAGTTCCCAGAGACCCCAACCAAAGATCGAAAAAGCACTAAGATGATTCACGTTTGACATTTTTCAGTCAAGGCGGGGAATACATCTTGCGCATGCGTATAGTCGAGTTGCCGCTCTTGCAGCATCCGAGCGTCTGAATTTTTATCAGTTTCCCTCAAGACTCTATTTAATATAATAACCTAAATTGACATAGTGTAAATTATTATGCTATTTGCATGGTATTGTTTAGTAACGTTAAGGTAAAATAGGAAACATGTAATTGTGAAACGTTCACTCGGCGACATCTTTATATAGATGATTAGTTACGATAAAAGATTGTTTTAAAAATTAAAAGCAACAACAATACAGACACTTGATATGAATAATAATTTTTTTTTTTTAAACTCGTAGACTATTTACAAAACAGAAGTTTGGATACAATTCTCTTGGTTTGCTAAAGCTCTTTGTCCAATGATGTCACCAGCATCCTCCATCCACAGGACCCGCTGCCTTGTTTCATAAGTATCATGTGCTAAGCTTATTTACACTTTTTACACTTTATGCATTCATCAGAAATCTGATTTTACTCTCCAACTTTAACATGGCTTTATTTGTTTATCTCCAACAAAGACTGTAATTAGTAAAGTTCCCATTATTTCTGCAATTTTACATCATTGAGCAGCACATATTAAGTGATATTTATCCAGACAGGCTACAGTGTCTGCATCAGTTTGTTCCACTTCAGAAATAAGCTGTATGGAGCTGTAGTACAAGCACACATCTGTAGTCCAGTAAGAGGAGACAGGGCTACAAATCAAGAATATCTTTATTTAAAAAAAAACAATGAAACAATGAAACACTTCCACTTCTCATCCCACATCTGTTTGATTGACAAACGTAATCATGAAAAAAGCGGTACTACAAAACATGTCAAATTAAAAAAAACAAAAGCAAAAAAATAAAGAATACAATATAACAAGTACTATTCTGATATGTACAAGCATCATTGTTTCTTATAGTATTGTTATAGGCAAAAGGCAAAAAAGCTGAAGACTGCTGCTGAAGAAATGATGGCATGTGCAAAATACTCTTCACAAGTCCACAAGCTCAGGGCGCTCTGTTCTGAGCAGAACCTCGGTCGGTTAGAAATCTACTGCTTTCACAGGTAACTCCCATTTTCATGAAGACAGATGGCAAAATTCAATTCAATTAAAACGTGTGAGGGGGTAACGGCATGCTCTCAGAAAGGTGAGCTTGTGGAGGCTTGGTGAAGAAGAAGACTCTCTCATCACCAGAGGGACGGCAGAGAGAGAAAGACACTGCTGACCACTGACAGATTACTGATGGACCGAACAGCTCCTAATCTCTAACCACGACTAGTCAAGGACAGAGGAACCATCGTCACAAACACATTGACACAGGTACAGAGGTACAGGTATTAAAAAAAAAAAAGAAATACACAGCAACACTTTCAGGACTTACACGCACAGAACAACCAGCTTGGTCAGAGAGACGGCAGGAGAACATGTAAATGGGGTCAAATCAGTTTTTGTTAGGTAATAAGGAATGAGACTGTGTTGACAATGCAATAAGTTCAAAACAAGGATCACTTTGCTGTTAATGTAGGGTGTTTTCAGGCTATCAGCATCCACCAAAAACCCCACATATCTCTGGATATTCTCACAATTTCTTCACATTTTAGTTTCTGGCAGTGATTTTTAATACCTCTAATGCTCAGTTTCAGTGATCTCCCTCTGAGCGCACAAGTTGAAGAGGCATGAAAAGACTACGCTTAATTTCAGGAAATCGCATCATTGCAATAATTTGACTAACAATACTACAAGGCAAAGAGCATTTTGACTCAATTAGAGGTCTCTTCCAACAGCAGATACTCGAGCCCAGCTACAATTTACGTTAAAAAGTTGAAGGTTTCGTTCCAAATATTGTACAAATTTCGCAAATTTAAAAATGCCGTACCACACTTCCATACTAAAGTTAGAAAAACCTACTATTTCAACACTACGAGCTCATACATTTAGCAAATAGTTTACAATGCATGAAGTGATGCAAGTTTTGAGGTTGCCATGTAGTGGGGAAAAGAACCACTGCCTCATTGACTGAGTCCTAATATACATTATATGGACAAAAGTATTGAGACACACCTCCTAATGTTTCAATTCAACTGTTTTCAGACCCGTTGCCACAGAAATCTTCATCTAGCCAGACAGTCTGCCTTTACAACATCTGTGAAAGAATGGGCGGGTGCAAAGAGCTCATTGAATTTGAGTGAGGTGCTGTAACAGGGTGCCACCATTGAAGTTTTTCCCTCTTTAATATCTCACTGTCAGCTGTAAGTACTATTACTAAACAGGAGTAACCATGGCAACTCATCCACGAAGTTCCCGACCACATAAAGTTACAGAGTGGGGTCACCGAGCGATGAGGGATATGGCATAGACATTAACATCAGCACAAATACTGTGCGCCGGGAGCTTCACAGCATGTGTTTCCATGTGTAACATGTAGCTGACTCAGGTCTTTTGTCCATATAGTGCATCTAGTATTTTAATCATTATTTTCACAGTTCTTATTTTGCTGACCTAACGATGCAGAAACTCAACTCTGGCTGACTTTACTGGAAGGAGTTAAAATGTGGAGTGGGAACTGTTTTAGTTTCTAAAGGGGAGGACACAACAGAATATGTTTGCTATATTCAACTAGTAAATGCATTTGCAGTTTCTTATTTAATGATCAGACAGATTTAAAGAAGCTTGATCATTTAATTCTAATTGTTTATCTGTTCATCGGGCGAATAGAAGCCCAATATTTGCTGTGCTTTTAGCTCAGTTTTGGTCTCCACCAACTCTTATTTGACACTTTAACTCTTAAGTTTCTCCTCTCTGTTTCCAGGAGGATTGATTGATTGATTGATTTAAAAAAAATCAAGATTTAATCTAAAGGATACTTCACAGAAACACAAGCTGTTGTGACCCAAAGGTTGTTTCCTTCAAGCGGTACAGCAGCTCAGTTCTGGACCTTAGATTCATTTGAATGAAGTAATTAAACTGTGAAGTCTCTGTATATATGGGTTATTTTAAAGTAGTACTAAAAGTTTGTTCTATTTTCTTAGCAAAGGTCTTTGATTTGTTTCAGAAAATGCAGCAATTTATGCTTAAGCCAGTATCTTTTAAAGGAATTAGTACTGGAATGAAACCTCCTGTTTTTAGTTTGGATCGAGCAACCTCTACGTCAAACCACAGTCCATCATCCAGGAACCCGAAAACCCGACATATTGTATGTAAGGCAGTTAGCTTTCTGTCTGTAAGGGCCTTCAGTGGTTGTCATCACGAGGAAAAAGAGAAGCCTCATTTCTAAAAGTCTGTGATCTCTACTGTCTTAACAAAAATAATCAGTCGTTCACACGTAAACTGAATTCAATACATTCAAATTTTTTGAAATCCCTAAAAAAAAAATCAATCCGCAGCTAGCTGAGTGTTTGCTCGGCGGTGACCACTCGTTAGCGAAGCGTTGTGTAACAGGAGAGGAAAAACAGAGATGAACATGTGCCGCCGACATCACAACTGTAACACTTTAAACGCCGACACAGGAGAAAAAGAAACAAAAAAAACACTTTGAGATCGACTTTCAAACAAACCAAAAAAAAAAAAGTTATTTAAACCAAGAAATTGGCATTAACACTATTTTAAAAAAGCTGTATTAGTAATACTTCACTGGAGAGTGTTACGATGTAGGTGACACAAGGCAGAATCATTAAAAACGACTGTTATAAATCCACAAACATTCTTAGATTTTAGCTCCAATGGTTCCCTCATGTCATTAAAAGTTCAGTTAACCTTCAAGCTTGTCCAATTTTTACTGTTTAATCAAGAAAAACAAACTGTATTCGCCTTGTGCCAGTCTACAAAGTGAACAAGATGACCACTGCAGCTTTTGCAGCTCTAATCGAATAGTCACTGACATCAACACACACGCACACTTACACACCAGCTGCATGCCCTCTGTCACATGGTAAAAAAAACAATTTCTCCTCTCAAGTGATTTTTTTTTTTTTAAAGTTTCTGATCACATTACATGTATTTCACACCACACACACACAAACACACACTTGTTACCAGTTACTGTACACTCACTAATCACCTCATGACATCCTAGAGAAAGCGTGTAGTGGAGAGGCAAAAACAAACAACAACGAAAAAAGGTCAGTAAGGAGCTGAAAGACAACGATCACGCTCTGTGAGAGTTTCCACCAGGTCTGCTGTTCCCACTGAAAACAAAGCTGCCAGTCTAGCCAATAAAATGAAGACAAGGTTTTTTTTCAGGGGGGGGGGGGACAACATCGGCCACAACGTTGTGCTTCACTGCAAGTAACTAACTCCCATTTTTACAGCACGAACACTAAAAGAAAAAACAACAGCTTTTCCCGTTAAGTGCTGTAAGAGTTTCGGATGGTTTAAACATGCATTTTGCTGCTTTCTGTTGCATATGTATTTATTTCTGCTGTTAACGAGAGTTAAACCTTTATTGTTATTTTTTTAAACACCCAAAACGGTCCACGTGTAATTGTACGGTAAGTGCATAGCAAATAAAGATTAAAGAAAATGCACACTACGGTAGCCCCTGCCCTGATGTCTTGGATCTCTTCACAGTAACAAACACTATGCATCACGACACAGCTTTGCAGGGAAGGGTTGGACATTTCTCACTACTGCACTTTTTTTTAAAGGACACTTGACATTTACAGGTTGTTGTTTTTTTCTCATTTTTTTTTTT